CCAGGAAAGATCTGCAATAATCCACTTCAAATCCAGGTCCAAACTACATCTGGGGCCAGTGTAGCTTCTACAGGAAATGTTATTGCTGTGTAAGTACTGGATTCACCCATTGTGAATGCAATTTTCCAAACAATATGTTTGATTAATTTGCATTTATGTTTTTTGTTGTATATTAGGTATATTATATTGTCTTTCACTCATGTCCATCCAACTCCCACACATATTCTTTGATTGTTTATGTGTTCAAAATCTTCTATATTGAGTCACAAGCTATAAAAGTAGATTGGCTTCTGTTGGCATATGCTAATATACAAAAACAGTGTATCAGTGTGTGAACATCCATCCGTTCTTGTGTAGATCCGACAAAAACACAGGATTCATCTGTAAGAACTCGAACCAGACTCAAGGCAGTTGTAAGGATTATCGTGTACGTTTCCAGTGCCCCTTGGATTTCTGCATTCTACCAGGTTTGAAAAATGCTGTAATGCTTGTATAAACCTTTTCACTTCTTTTCTTTAACTGTTCAACTGGCTGGTGCAGTTGGTGATTTTCTCATCTTCTCTTTCAATGGCGTCTTTGCCAGTTTGCTGGACGAAGTGGTATGATCGCGACAATCCCAGTGGAACTGGGGACTGGGAATCTCTGAGTGACCTAAGAAGACAGGATCCAAAAGGAATCTGTGACCGCCCTCTCTACATAGATGTTGTTACAACGGACACAAACACCCCATTCACCTCTACAGGCCAGACACACTATGTGTAAGTTGACTTAAGGAAAACTTATGCTTCTAACTAAGACACTGAGGTGGCATGGTGGTACAGTGGTGAACAATGTTTCATCTTAGTTCAAACCTGCTGTATATGACTCACACACATTGACCCATCTTTAAAAATCAGACCAACCGTCAGCAGCACAAATCTTGTCAGAGTGAGTGTTTCATTAAAACATCCATAAAATTTTGAAAAAACTCTACAAAGTCTTGAGCAGAATTCGGCTTAAACTTCGATACTGCTGTTGTTGCATGTTCATGCGGTAGGCATTCTGTCCCTGGGATTTCTGCAGGTTTCAATTAGTTAAAGTGAACACTTTCATTTCAACATTGGTAAAATGCTTAAATGTTAAAGCACCTAAATCATTTTATAACTGCTGCAATAGGGACTTTGAAGGAGCAGAAATTGAGAATGGCCTCTGTTTCTTAGAGGTTCATAACCACCTCAAC